TCTTTCTGTCTCTCTTTCTATCTCTCTTTCTATCTCTCTTTCTGTCTCTTTCTCTTTCTGTTTCTATTTCTTCCTCTCTGTCGCTTTTTTTTATTATTCTTTTTCTTCCTTTTTTTTTTTTTTTTTTTTTTTTTTTTTTTTTTTTTTTTTTTTTTTTTTTTAATAAAATAATATCAAACTTTCTCTATACACGTATATTCATTTTCACAAACATGTTTTTTCATTCTATTTATTTCTCCGTTTTTATATTTCTCTGTAATTTTTTCGTTTTATTAAAAATGAAAATTATTTTTGTTAATACAAATTTGTTACCTAATGATACATCATCGTACATGCGTACTAAATGATAATTTATTATAATAAATATTGAAAATATTTAAATATTATTCATAATAAATAACATTTATTTGATGATTTATTATTAAAATATTAAGAGTATTTATTTAAAAAGTAAAAAAAAAAAAGAAAGAAAAATAAATATATCGAAGTGGAATATTTTAACGAGATACATTTATTAATGTACGAAATTATTTTTCTTTACATATTTATAAGAGAGAGAATATGATTAGTTAAATGAAAAAGGAAAAAAGAAGAATGATTTATACTAAATCTTTTTTTCCACTTATACGAACATTCTTTTGAATCAAATATATATCAGACATATGTAGGATGGATCACGTTAATTTGATAAAATATCAAAGCCAACGCAAATAAATTCAAGGTCACTATATAAAAAAAAAAGTTCTGCCATACCAAACAATACGATGCGATGCTAAACATGCATGACCAGTTAAAATAATGAAACAATATAAACTAAATAATGAAATATATTTAGCAGAGAGAGAGAGAGAGAGAGACAGAGAGAGAGAAATAAAGAGCAATAAAGAAAAATATGCTGTTTACAACAGGAATAATATTATATATAGTAATAAATGACATTCTTATTTAGTATTAATATATAATAAGAAATAAATACATAATAATATTACATTCAATATTCTTAATTTGTAAATCATCAAGTCCCCATACTTCAATCTATACTTTTCAAATTAATAATTATTACGTACGGCATCATTTGTTGTAAATTTAACAATTATATTATTTGAATATACCGAATCGATATTTCATTAATTTTCTCTGATGATGAAGTAAATATAAATATAATTATTTATAGATTTCCCTTTAAATAGGAATGTTTATTGGAATGTGGGCGGAATATTTTCATAAAATGGTTTATTGATCGTCCAAAGATTCCTGGCATCGTGGTCATTGTTGGACGATAGATCGTTCGTCTTGAAGGTGAGCCAAAATAGTGATTATCTTTTGTGAAAGAAGAATATAAGCCAAGTCGTCCTCTTTTTTCTTCGTCATTTTCGTATATTTCTTCTTCGTCTTCTTTCTCTTTTCTTTTTTTCTTGTTTTTTTTTCTTTTTTTTTAGCTTGCTAAGACTATTACACGCGATCAAGAGTCACAGTTTCTGTCGAAAACGAGAAGGATATGTGGATTTGTCGAAGACGTTCTGGCTTAGAATAGATTTAAGAGAAAAAGGCCGACCGATCGATAGATAGAATGATTTCCGTCTGATAAAAATTTTCGAAGGAATCTCGAAGTTAAATGTAAAAAGAAAAATGTAAAATTATTTGTTTTGTAAAGATATATATATATATATATATATATATATATATATATATATGGGTGTTCTGAAATCTATGATACAATCGGACATTCGATGATTTTATATGAAAAAAAAAAAAAATAAATAAATAAATAAATAAAAAATAAATAAATATATGTATATATTTATATATATATATATATAAATCGAAAGTATATGAAATAAAATCTTTTTTATACAATGCTTTGTTTTCGAAAAAATCGACGAAACTTTTCTCAAAAATCAAATTATCGATTCATATTTGTTTCATCAGCGATGTAACACAGTAGATGTTTATTTATTTATTTATTTCTTTTTTTTTAAATCTTTTAATAAAATGAACTGTTGAAATTATTAAATGTATATCTCGTTAAAAAAGTTTATTATTTCTAAATCAAAATATATAATGATGCTTCGTTTTATTCAAAATTGTATATTTCTCTTGAAAACAAGAAATTCATTTTCTAATAATTTTGACAGTTTATATCGTTAATGAATTTAAAATGGGATGTAACAAAAATATATAATTTATATCTTGTTTTACTACAATAATTAATTTTCGTCATAGGAAGAAGTGAAAATCTCGTATAAAAAGATTTTATTTAATACTTTCGACTTATATTTTCATACAAATTTATTAAATGTCCGTTTTTATCATTAATTACATAGAATATCATATAATTAAAGAGTTATTAAAGAGTAATGTTAATCGTATGTTCTAACAAAGAGAGAAAGAAAGAGAGAGAGAGAGAGAGAGAGAGAGAGAAGAGAGAAAATGCTAAAGAAATCGAGTAGTCGAGTATCTGTTCTCGTTAGTTGTTATTATTATTGTATAGGAAAAACGATAATAATGTCGTTCTAACGAGCACCGTCGTATTTTCAACGTTGAAAATGACATACACGATAATAATAAAGCACGAACACGAATATTTCCGATGCGTGCACAATTTGATACCGATCGTTATCTATTGTATGTGTGTAAAAATGATTAAAATTAATAAAAATAAATTGAGAACGAATTTCACCAATAAAAATTTATCTTTCATTTTATTTAGCTTTAATTTTCTTTTTTTTTCTTTTTTTTCTTTTTGTTTCGATGCATTATATGTAAGTATGTACATATACATATGTATGTCGAATTAGAGTATTTAAATATATATAATCCATTAAAAGAGAAAGAGAGAGAGAGAGAGAGAGAGAGAGAGAATTTTATGTTTCATCGATAAATAATTTTATCGTTAAATAATAATAATTATCGCTGTTTTTCCTACGTTTAATACGTAGGAGAATATCACGTGAATATCCGAAAATAGTATCAAATTTGTTGGGTGTGTTTATCTTTGTAAATCTCGCACGGATCGTTCGAGTTCTACTCTAGTTTCGATCTACGTTACGATCGCATCCATTTTCCGTACTAAACTTTCATAGAAGCTTCCGTGAATCTGTAAATACCTTATAGATTATTATCGTTTCAACTTGGTAAAATAGTCATTCGTAATTTCTCCGAATGATTCGAGATGTTCAATATTATAAATTCGAGAACGAGAATAATGTATTTAAATACGAACGTAAAAAAAAAAAAAAGGAAAAAAAAAGAAAAAATAAAAGAAAACAAAAACAAAATATTCTAGAAAAGTAAGTTGTATTTCGAAGTGTTTTAAAAGATTAAATTAAATAAGTTTGTCGAGTCATTTTTAATATTCATTTCTGTAGGCGTACGAAAAAGTAGGCCAAGAATTGACCGGAATATAAATTCGAATTTATGATATATATTGAATAAAATATTATTTAACTAACTTTAAAAATAACCTTTATTTGTTTACTTCAAAGTGTACATTTTTGAGAGAGAAATCATTTTTTATTTTCCATCAATTTCAAACAGCCGACTTCGAATGGCCACGTAACCGAAGTTAAATCATTTTTCATTTGAACACTTGTTTCGAATAATTATTTATTTTGGAATATTTCAAATATGTTATGCCGTAAATAATCAATCAGTATCGCAGATAACTCTCGTTTATATTCATATTTTCTTCTACGTTTTTGTTTAGATATGATTTATAATATTTACACAAATATTTTTTACTTTATCTACGCTCATACAAATGACCTTTCTGTCTTTATTATTATTATTTTATTATTTTTTTTTTTTCGTTTATTTCTTTTTTCATAATGCTTTCTTTATTTAAAATATCCATATTTTTTTAATGGATTTTACTTTTATAGACTTTTATGGATTATACTTTCAACAAAAACCACATTTTTCTCTACTTTTATTTTTCTGCAAATTTTAAATGTTTTGCTTCACTTTTATATCCTTTTTACTTATATGTTCATGTAAAACTAATCCTTTTTTGCCTATCATTCTTCAACAATTTCATTTTAAATTATACACGTTCCTTTTTTCTGTCTTGCCGTAACAAAGGATGAGAAAAGACATAAACACGGTGTATTGTAACTGTCACAGTTTCAAAATTACTTTATTAGCAAGCTCAAATAAAGAGTTCGTGAGCTTTTTTAAAAATAATTTTCATCTCTCGTTCACAAGAGAAATATGCATTTCATTTTTCGTTTTACACACATATATATATATATATATATATATATTTTTTTTTTCTCTTCATCGTATAATATTTATTATGAATAATATCAGAGAATATGTAATCCAGAACATAATTCCATAATGATATATACGAAAGAATAATGAAATGCAAAAAGTAATACATATTAATAAAGAACTTTTATTTCTATTATTAGTATACACATATATATATATATACATATAAATATGTGTATATGACATACCTTCATCATTTTTAATTAATAAATAAAGAAAATATATTAGCACAACATAAATTAGCATAATTAGAGATCAGATATCAGTTTATTTATTACTTTTAACAATTAAATTATGTTATTGTTAAAGTGGATAAGCAACGATATGATAATAAATTTCACTAATTTACCAATTAAACTAGTATCAAGTTTATCAGATGTTTTTTTTAATTATATTTAAAAAGTTAATAATAATCGCATATTACTTTTGAAATTAGTTTTGGAATAATATTTCTTGTTATTTAAAAAAATAATTTATCATTTTTGTTTTATTTTGTTTCTTCTCTTTTTTTTTTTTTTTTTTTTTTTTTTTTTTTTTTTTTTTTTTTTTTTTTTTTTCATAAAAGTTATTAAATTTGTAATTATGGCGCCCTCTCCGGTCGCATATTTTTTTAACCAGATGGGGCATATATACAATTCTGAACATCATTTCGTCAATTAACTTTTAAAATCTGTTATTAAGTAAAGGAAAATTCTAACAGATGGCGTTGTGTCGAACAGTAACCAGTAGTAACCGACGCTTACCAATGTTTGGCGGTTCTGCTTGATTATTTCTTTAATTCTATAATATTTTCGGATTATCTATATTATATTAAATAATTTTAATCTTAAATGTGTCAAGTGTATCATTCGTAAATCATTAATGATCCGTTTAATATTCGTGAGTTTGAAAAATTTTCTAACAATGTTGTAGAAAACGGTGAACTAACCTGAAAGCTTTTGTTTATTATCTCATATATTTTTCTCTATCTCTGTTGTATTATACACATATTTTATTAGAAATAATTCACAAAATGCAAAAATATTTTAATCCATAATAATAAGTGTAGATGAAATTTAAAAAAAAATTTACTCGTGAAAATTAAAGTGATACTAATGTGTACCCAAAGTTTTTAATGATTAAATCAAAGTAATAAATTAAGATAATATATATCTATGGAATATAATTCATCGGTCGTCATATTTAATAATAAGAAAAGTTATGTGAATCATTTAATGTTATATGGAATCACAGTGTGATTAATAGTTCCTGCTGATGGAAGAAAAAGGATAATGAGCGATTCGGATGATACGGACGTCCTACTCCTTATCCCACCTGATCTCTTCCTTGTACCATCATCCTCTGATTCTGACATTAGTACAAAACAGTGTTATGAAAAAGTAAATCGTTCTAATGGAAGAAGAGGAGTTATCTCAGAGTTAGTTGGTCATATGCAATCATTAGAGAATAGAATTTCTGCTATTGAATCTAAAGATAACAGTTTGGATATATCATTATTGAACAATTCATTGGATTCTCAAACACAAGAAAACGGATATTTCTATCATAAAGAATCAAGCAGAAGTAATTTCTCCGTAAGTCAACCATCCAGTTTGCAGACTAGTCCCATCAAACCTCGCAAGTCCACCTCAGTTCCTTCTACGCCTATTAGGTACGTATCATCCAATCGTATTAATTCAAAAGAAAATGATATAAGATCGAATCATTATATTCTGAAAACTAATAATACTAACCAAGTTAATACTAACGCATGTAATCACGAAAAGCATGAGGTTTTAAAGTCTCATTCTGATAATCACGTGGTACCATCTGTTTTTTATCATCCTGAAATAATCCCGCATGTTGCTGATAATTTTATCATAAGGGAATCTTCTTCTGTTTCAAATGATAACAAAAGTGCAAATAATATGTACAATAAAGCATGTGATAAATCATATTTAGTACCATCTACCTCGAATTTGCTTAGTACAATAGGAAACCCTGTTGTGGACTCTTCTAAAAAGATAATAAACATGGAAATTTCTGAAGTCGATGAATTAATTCAAGAAATGGAGGCTACAGATTTGGAATTATCTAAAAGAATAAATGGTGCTAATTCATATCAATGTAATCAGAAAAAGTTGGATTCTTTTCTTCAAAAACAAACTATTAATCAAGGCAATAATGAAAATGAGCCTACTTCGATGATTTCTAAAAATCGAGGAATTCATGCTTATACTGATATATCATTAACGACCTGTCCAAATAGTTTATTTCAATTAGATGAAACTGATAAATTAATTTCTGATTTTAAACAATGGGAAGAAAGAATTCGTCAAACGGTTCCTGATAAGAGTCATAATCATCAAAATACAAATGATAATTCTGCTAATAATATAGAATTATTACATAATAAGAAAACTACTGACATTGTCACATCTATGCCAGAATCAAATCAAATTAGATTTAAGAGAAATGAAATAGGTGGTACTAATGCAAAGGAAATCCAAGAAAATGTAACAAGCGTTTTAGAAAATTCTGAAGGGATGCATAATAGTAATGGACAAAATAAATATACAATAGTTCCTGATGTTACAGAGACTAAATCTGAACTTTTAACAAATATTTGTACAAAATCACTTTATACCAGTAGTTTACAAGATATTGTCAAAGATACAGAACCTTCATTGAGGTATTTTTTAAACGTTAAGATTTTATTTTATATTATATATCTTTCTATCTCATAAGAAAATGTAATATTTAATAAGATTTCATTTCTTGTTCTTTACAAGGCCACAAAAATTATTATCTTTATCAGACTTTTGGGATACTAATACCAATAAATCACAAGGAGAAATGATTAGAATTAAATTAGAAGAAGAAAAATTTCGAAGAGAGGTATGATTGAATTTGTTTTTAAAATTTTAATTTTGAAAAATTAAATTTGTCCCCAAAAATAATCCTTATTTTAGCATTGCGAGATATTAATTCAGGAACTTCAAAAACGTTTATTGGAACATCAAGAAAAGCTCGCAGTTGCTGTTAGAGTAGATTATGAAAAGGATGTATTAATTTCACAATTTAACAATGCATGGTCGAAAATAAAACAACGCGTTCAGATATTGGAAAGAGAACGGGATGATTTAGAAAAGAATCTTCATAATATTAATGAAAAGCATCAATCTGAAATAAATGAATTTCAATCGCAAATAAAACGTTGCGAGGGAGAATTATCGAAGGCTTTAGATCTCGCGGCTGGTTATAAAGAGAAAAGTGATAGTTTGATGAAAGAAAAAATTGATTTGTTAAAAGTTCATGCGGATGAATTAGAAAATTCTAAATCATTGATTCAGGAAACAGAAAATAGATATCAACAAATTAAAGGGGAATATAATAAATTAATTGAAACCAATCGTCAAACTGATGAAAGTTTAAAGAATATACAACAGGAATTAAATAGGGAACGTTTACGAGGTAACGAAGTGAAAAATGAAATGAGCGTAATACATAAAGCGTTAGATACTTGCGAAGCAGAATTGACAATACTTAAACAAGAAAAGGAAAATTTACAGCTTAAAATTAAAGAAGAAATTAATAGAAATAATATTCTAGAACAGAAGAACGTTTTTTTACTTAATTCTTTGGACGATGCAAAAAAAGCAGAAGTACAGTATCAATAAAAAATATAATCTGATATATATGTAATATGTATAATTCTAATGTAATAATTTTATTAATTGAATGTATTAATTTAGAGATTAGCGAAGGAAGAAAAGAAATCATTGGAGGAACAACAGGTAAAAATGAGAAGCGAATTACAAGAGGTCTATCAAAAACAAGTCGATGAAGTAGTAAAAGCAAAGTTACAAGAGTTTCAAACGCAATTAGATTCGGCTGAATTAGAATTCGTTGAAGAATTAAAATCAAGACAACAAGTTATAGCCGAATGTGCTGCAAGAAAAATCAAAGAAATTATCGATAAGTAAGGGAGCAAATTTTATTTGAAAAAAAAAAAATAAATAAAAAAAAAAAATAATAATAATAATAATTTCCATTATATAATTTATATAAATAATAATCACGATAATTAATAATATGCGCAAATTATTTTACAAATATTCGTAGACATCGATTAGAAATTAATTTATTAGAAGAAAAGCACAAAGAAGAGAAACGATTGTGCGAGTTGCAATTGGCACAAGCGGTACAAAAGTCATCCTTATTAGAAATGCATTTGAATTCTCAACGTGCCAATAAATCTCAATTGGCAGAACAATTGCATTCGGTTATGCAAAAACAATGGCAACAAGCGTTACATATAATATCAGGTATAATCGAGATCGACGTTTCATAACTTTCATATTTAATTTTTATTCGATGATACATTTCATCTCCTTTTTCATTTTTCTTTTTTTTTCTTTTTTTTTTCCTCAATTGCTTTTCCTTTTTCTTTCTTTCCTTTCCTTTTCTTTTCTTTATTTTTTTTTTTTTTTTTTTTTTTATCATTCATAATTTTTCGCAATCATATTGTAGGTGGTAATATCGAGAATCTGTCACCATTAGAAAGATTAACGGCGGAGAAATTTTTCGAGAGCAAAATACCTAAAGAATCTGTATCAAATTGTCAAATAAAAATTTCACAGGAACCGCCGTCGACAACACCGACGTCGTCATCCAGAATTCAAAACATTCAGAATGATCGTAATCGTAATGAAAATTTGATCGATATTCCATTGTCAAATAAAAAAGATTCGAAAGAAGATCTTCGAAAATATATCAAACTTGTAAGAATGTTTATTAATGTATGAATTAATCGAAGAATATTTTTTAATGTATTTATAATAAGATTAATTCGTAGATTGCCGAAATGCAAGAACCTAAAGAGGAATATACGAATTTTTTCGAAAGCATATCGAGCCCACAAATTTGTCGTGAAGTTCCACGAAAGCATTATACGAAGAAAGAATTAAGTATAACGAACGAAGATAGTATTTTATTGCAGGCAACCTCGGAGGTTTGTTTCTCTCTCTCTCTCTTTCTCTCTTTAAATGAATCGATTAATTAAACACGATGAAATAGTAAATAAATTTCATTATAGGGTTCGGCACACGATTGCAGCGAATATATACCTGTACCACAAAAGTTCAACAGTAAGATTGAGCAACAAAGAAATAAGCCACCATGGAAATGATGTTCGATGCGGGAACACATAATCGATAATAATTCGGGCATAGATGAAGTCGATCATACAAGAGTATGGCTTCGGTGCAGTATAATTAACTAGCAATAATTATAAAAGAAAAAAAAAAAACATCGAATGATTACGCTTTTTTCTCTCTCTCTCTCTCTCTCTCTCTTTCTCTCTCTCTCTACTTTTTTCTCTTTTTTCTTTTTTTTCTTTTTAACGAACATTCCACATATTTGAGATCGAAGAT